AAATGATCCCCTTTACGTAGGATAGTAGCAGGTTTCTCATCGTATCGCTCGTTGTTAACACCTTTGACCATAAGAGGCTTACCACCGTTCTCTAGATCAACAATAACGATGTTCCTTTTGAGGAATGAAACCAACTTTGGAAAATCGCCGTAAGACATCTTCTGACCAACAGGTAACCCGCATCCTTCATAATAGTTAGTAACAATTTTGTCCAGTGGCTTTCTTTGTTTCATGATGTACGCATATTCATTTGTTGAGTGATCCATTGTATGGAATGCTACGGATAAGGCAACTGCTCTCATACCACAATCGTTACCATTGTTTTTCACAACAATGACACAACTTTTTGACTGTGCTGATAGATGGTCATGATAGTTTTTGAAAGTGCCGCCCTTTACCGAAACTAAATGATGCACCTCAATAGTCATGCTTTCATCGATTGATGCTATTTCAGCCGATTGCATTCTCGCAGTAATTTCGTCTATCACTTCAGAAGCAATCAGATCACTAACTGATACAACTTTTGATGACCAAAATCCATTGTGTAGACTTTGATGTTGAAACCCTATTTGCACTTTGTCACCGTGTTCAAGGCCTACAAGTGATTCCTTGATGACATCATTGAAAAATGAAACAATATCATCATGAGTAGCAAAGGTGTACTTTGGATTGAACCGATAAAGTTCCTTTGTATAACCGATACCTTTGATTTTGATCTCTTTGACAGATATTAAAGGTGAGAATGATTCTTGATGCTTTCGAAGATTATACTTACATTTAGCCCTAGTGGCAGCAGCCTTCTTAGCGGCTTCCTTTCGCTTTTTAATAGCAGCCTGAGCCCTCTCTTGAATTTCTCTCATCTCGCGCTCTTCCGCTTCTTTATTAAGCCTTCTCGTCTCTCTGGCCTTTTCAGCAATAGCCTGCTTTTGAGCCTCAGTGCATCTCGCAGCAGCAATTCTTTTTTCTCACTCAGATTGTAGGAATCTTGGTACTCGATGTATTTGAAGGTTCTCTAGTGCTTCTCGTCATTTCTTAGTCCAGTTCTTACATGAGAAGTTTCCAGAGACGATCTTCCGCATCATCTTCTCGAAAGGCTTCGAGTCTTCTTTTACGTTTCTGTTCGCGATTGGGTCAAAAATCAAAGACATAGTAAATAGAAATATATAGTGTTAAAAAATAAATATTTTCAAAGCTTTAAATGTATTTGTTCTTTGAATGATGTTCATGCGAAGTGAGCAACTTTTACTGGATCATCAGGAATAGCCACTTTTCGATTTATTTTAAAGTATCTCATCTTAGGAGGAGGTGGTGGTGGTTTTTGTATACATGGTAACTTTTCTATAGCATACATCTTTGAAATAGGTGATTCTGCTAACCCATGTATTATATTATGAATGTATGAGCGTGAGACACCTAACCTGTTAGCAATCTCTATGGCTGCCTGATAGTCATTTACAAATGTTCTAGAACCATCTTCTTCGATCTTGTATACCCTGTAGCGATCCTTCGTGTTTATCGATCCTGATTTGCATCCCATGTTAAAATATATTGTGTATACAAAATATTATTTCTCTTTGTTTAAACGTGTGTGTTTATTAGCAAACATTGTACAAAAGCTCTATAACAACACCCCTACATGACGCTAAACAAAGGGATATCTATGTACATTGTGCTACGAAACACCTTTACAGACTGTTTTTGTTGTTTTGTATTTTTTTTCTGGTTTTGTTGTTTTGTACTTTTTTTGTTGATTTCATGGATTTTTTAGCGTGTGTCAATGGTAATTGAAGAGAATCAAGCAGCGGCGCTACTGCTTCCTACATCTGGAGGATTGATAACATCAGCATGGACAATGTCCTGATCGCTCACTTTAGCCTTGACGCTCTTTCTGGGCTTAGGGGTGCTAGCTGCTATGAGTGTGTTAATCTGCATCTGTTGCCACTCGATACACTCCATGAGCATTTGCTCTAAATTAGAGGATTCCCGATTACGCTCAGGCTCAGGAAAGCCTGCCGGGATGCCTGCTGGCATGCCTTCCGGCATATGGCTCTGCGCCGGGATATGGGTCTGCACCGGGCTTGACCGCTCCGTGCCTGGCATACTCTCTTTCTCGACACGTCTGCATTTAGCCTTTTGTGGACTGTAATCGCTGTCATCGGCATCATCGGAATCGTCAGCATCAGATGAAGAACCAGAACTCAAGGTTTCACCATCGGACTCTTCGAACTCTTCAAACTTCCTCTTTAACTTGAGAGATGAAGATTTCCGTTGAGTCTCTTCTCGCTTCTTCCGCTTTAGGAGTCGTCCCAGATGTTTTCTAAGTGATCTTATCAACTTCTTGTCATCCTTATATATCTTCTGATTATCAGCCATATTTTCTAATAAACACTCGCTTTGCTTGAAGGTGAGATCCTCTAGACCCATCCTGAGGAGCATGACGCGCTATGGGATGTAGCAAGCCTCCTACAAAGTGCGTCACTTGCCCCCATTGACTCTTTGCAATGGACATGTTTCAAATTCGGTTAGGTGTTTCAGAAAATGTAGCTATGTTTTCGGATTTTGGTTAGATGTTTCAGAATTATGGCGCATGTTTCAGAACACCTATCTGATGTTTCAGATTCGGTTAAATGTTTCGAATCATACCTGATGTTTCAAACCCGTACTCGTGCCCAATGGGAAAAAAGATACACCGAGTGCCTTTTTATGCCACCGGCTTGTACTCAGGGATGCCCTTCCGTTCAATGGAAAGAATCTTGGCATCCCTGCCGGGATAGGCCGCTCCGCGCCCGGCATAGTCTTGGCATTTCTTGGCACCATTTTTTAAACATAAACAACATGCCTCATGACTCTTCCAGAACCGTAGCATCGCTTACGTGTTGCTGCGGCTTTTCTAGCAGCGATGATGTGCCTGTTTCTTGCACGAGCAGCCGCTTTAAGCCCTTTATTAGGCATAGCCGATACGTTGATGAGTTTTCTATGGGATTTCTTAGCCATAATGTGATTCAATATTAGGTTGAA